CTAAAAAAAGAAAAGCAGGAGCTGGAGAGATGGCTCAGTGGATTAAGTGCTTCCCTGGCAAGTGCAAGGGTCTGAGTTCAATCCCTGGATCTGCACAATAAAAAAAAAAAAAAAAAAAGAAAAGAAAAGCAAGATTTTAATGGCTCTCCTAGAAGGAGTTGGCCAGGGATATAGCTCAGCAGCATAAGGGCCTGCCTGGCAAGTGCAAGGTCCTGAGTTTGATCCCTGGTACCGAAGAAGAAGAAAAAAGAATGAGCCAATTTAAGGGTCAAACTGGAGGAACCTCAGCTTGCCTGATAAATTGGTGAGGGCTGGAAAAGTGAGTCAGTGATAGAGCACTTGCCTAAGAAACGCAAGGCCTGCATTCAGTTCCCAGCACGAAGAGGACTAGCAGGGAACCAGTGGTCAAAGTTCTGACGACCTGTCCCCAAATTCCCCTACAGGCAGCAGGGATACAGGAGAAGGCAGACGGGTTGAGCAGGCCTGCAAGGACATTCTGTAGGCCCTGGTGAACCTGTCAGACCTTCAGAGCAGAGGGGTGACATGTTTGCCTTGCGTCTTAAGAAGACCCCTTTGTCTCTCCTACAGAGAACAGCATGGAGGAGTGGTAAATTTGAGTATAAAACCTGGGTGTCAGAGAGAGAGATGTAATAATCCAGAGTCTAAACTAAATCAAACAGTTTAAAGAAAACTATACTGCCAGATGTCTTACAGTGAATTTTTCTTAGCTCTGTTCCTCTCCTTTCTCCCTCCCCAACTTGTTTATCTTTTTTTTTAAATTACTTTTCTTGGTACATTTTATGATGACATGATACCATTCACCATATGCTTTCATTTATTGTTGAGGTAAGGTCCTGCTAAGTTACCCAAGCTGATCTCACCCCTACATCCTCCTGCCTCACCTAGCTGCCCACCTTGAAGCAAATTTAGCAGATGTCTGATGGTAGAAAAAGGCAGTGGAGAAGTGGCTGCGCTTGCCCATGTTGACCTCCAAGTCTGCCATGAGAGCAGCGACAGCACCTTGGAGGCAGCAGGCTGCCCCAGGAAGGGGATGGTCTTAGGACTAACAGAGAGCAGCAGCAGGTTTTTGTGTGTCCACAAGAAGTTGGGAATACCCCAGTCCCCTGACCCACATGGGTACACACAGAAACATGTAGAGGTTACTAGACCATGAGTCTCAGCACATAATATTTGTTTAAATAATATTTCCAACACAATTAATTATTTAAAAAAATATTTATATTCAAGAGCCTCAGAACTGGCAGATGTGGCTAGAAAGATTCCTGCTGCATCCGACCATCAATGGGACTGGAGCACCTGCAGGGGCAGGTGGTCTTCCTGTGAGAAAGGCTCCTCCTCGAGTTGAGCAGACAGGCCAGGTTTCTTCATGGTGCCTGTGAATGGGATGAGAAACACTGTGGTTTGGCCCTTGGCAGAGGACCAGGGCCATTAAAACCCATCACACCAGTGGATGGCAGGTGATCCCGGAGTCCTGCAACCACTCTCCCTGCTTCCCTCCTTCCAGGAGCATTTCCCAAACCGCTGCATGTGCCTGTCGTGTGTTCCCCCCCAAAAGCTTTCAAGTCCCCACAGGTGATTGACCAGCTGTGTACCAAAAACCAGAAAATCTGAAAATAGTAGACAGAGAAGTTATATGCTCAGGGAATGCAGAGGTGACAAAAGGCCCATCTTGTAGGGAAGGTGGCAAATTTGGATACCCACAGAAAAGAAGGGGCAATTGCAGCAGAAACAAGAGCCAAGGAACACCAGCCACAACCAGTGAGGTATGGGAATGGGCTGGACAGCAGGTGGGCCTTGACCTCCACACTTGGGAATGTGGTCCTCCAGGGCTGCAGGAGCTCTAGGCCTTGAAAAGTTTTTGTCTACGCTAGTAGGAATGGAATGGGATAAGCCTAGAGCAGAAAGATTTGTCTGAATGTCAGGTGAACTATGCGTGGTGGTGCGTGCCTGAAGTCCTAGCACTCCAGAGCTGGAGGCAGGCATATATTTTTTAGTTCCAGGCCTACCTGGGCTCCATAGTGAGTTCAAAGCCATCCTGAACAGCAAAGTGAGATGCTGTCTTAAAACAACAACAAAAAATGATGGGCGTGGTGGCACACACCTGTAATCCCAGCATTTGGGAGCCTAAAGCAGGAGAATTGCTGCAAATTGAGGCCAGACTGGACTACACATAATGAATCCAAGGCCAACCTGGACTATACAGGAAGACCCTGTCTCCAACAAAAACAAAGAATCCACAAAGCACACAAAAACCACCTGAAGGTCAGGTGCAGGCTGAGAAGCAGAAGAAATGAGATTCAGTGATAAGGAAATGAGTGCCCCCCTGAAAAGTCCAGGCCACACTACACTGGATGAGAAAGCTAAAGTAAAACTTGGGCCAACAGGGTCCAGCCCTCCCACCTGAGCGAGGTAGCTCTTGAAGGATTCAGAAAGAAAGGCAGACAGTTAGGCATGCCTTTACATGGTACTACACACCAGTAATTCAAGAACTCCACAGATTAAAAAAGGATCTGCAAGGGGCTGGTGAGATGGCTCAGTGGTCTAAAGCACCTACTTAGAACAAGCTAAGCAAAACACAGGGACCACAGTTCAATCCCCCAGCACCACATGCCAGCCAGGCCCGCCCCCTGGTGGGCTGAGCTGGCCACACACACAAAATAAATGAATGAATAAATAAATAAATAATTCTTTAAAAAAAAAAAAAAAAAAGAATCTGCAAGCTCAGAGATGGCCTGTGCTACATAGTGAGTTGAAATCCATCCTGAACTTGAAAGTGAGACCATGTCTCAAAAAACAGAAAAACAAAATAGAAGGGTAGCCTGTGGAGACAGCTCCTCCTTGGAATAGGGACATGGGGTGAGAGCAAGCATACATCTTGGTGGACATTACTGGGGAGAACAGGAAGGCCATCCTGTCTGTCATGGCCCACAGACTTGAGGAAAGGCACAGGAAGTGACTTCATGATGTGGAGGGACTGGAGCCTGGTATAATGAGGTTAAACTAGGAATCAACAAGGCTGGCCTGTAAGGCGGTACCATGGGGACCAAAGAGATGCCACATGTTTTGAGAGCCAGGCAAGAAGTCTTTCCTACCTTGCTGCCATGCTGGGTCCCCTGGCTCAGCCCATGTCTGGCAGTGGGTGGGCCCTGGGTGGGTAAATGGAAGGGAGCTGACTGCCACCCAGGCAGGGGAGAGCTTGACAGGAGGAAGCCAATGGGAGTCAGGGAGAAGGCTTGGCTGAGGGCTCCTCCCACCCTAGACTTTGCAAGACCCTGAGGCACAGCAGACGCCCAGCAGCAACTCACCAGAAATGCCTTGCCCTGTGGGGTCCTCATACACTGTGGGCAGTGTCTTCTCCCACGCAGCCCAATTCACTTCCTCTACCCTGTGGACAATGAAGCAGCTCTGAAGGCCCGGGGAGCCAGCAGCCCAGCCTACCTCACCCTAGAGAGTCTAGGCCTCTGCCCTTGTCAGTGAACTGTGCAGATGCCCTAGTGGGCACAGGAATAGTGAGAAGACTTCTCTGCCCTCCTCTGTGGACACTGGGCCACCATACTCCACCAGAAGCCTGTTCCCTCTGGGCTCTTCACAGCAGCCTGCGTTACCTAGAGCAACCAGAGAAGAGGAACCGAGATCAGGCCCATCCTGGTGCTCTGGCTGGGAAGGCCATCTAATGCATGTTTATTAGCACAAAACCCTCATTCCCTCTTCCTGCTCAACCGCTTCCCCATAACCCAGTGCTTCTAACTGGGTGGGTGTCACTGGCTTCCCTCTCCTAGCACCCAGCTGTTCCTGAGCAGGGAAGAGCCTACTCTGCATGGAAGGGCTTACACCTCCAACATCAGGCTGGAAGAATTGGAGGTTGGGGCACACCCAGGACCAACCCAAGGAGGGGTCACCACCTGGGACAAACCTTCAGTGGAAGCCACTGAGACTGTCAGATGGGCAGACCCAAGAAGAGGCCACCGCAGGCTGTGAAATTCAGTATTGCCAACCTCCCTTGCCTACAAGGATCTCCCCGGCACTCCTCAGCCTTGCCTCTCCCACGACCTGGCTCCTAGCAGCCATTCCCGAGCTCTGAGGAGAATGACGCTGGTCTGTACTGGGGACAGGCCCCAGGGATTCCTGCCTCAGCAAGGCCCCTGCCCACCTGGCTCACCTGAAGCACCAGCGCTTGTCGGAGCTTCCATCTGGCCTAGTTCCCAACGTCAGCAGAACACCTGACCTTTGCTTCTTCCTCCTGAAGCACCAGTAGCCATTTTCCATCTCCAAGACACAGATGGCTTTCTAGGGAAAGAGGGCGCATCAGACAGAGCAGTGCAGGAGCCTGCCTGAAGGAAGAGGCACACAAGGCAAGGGGAGCAAGAAAACACCCCCCAGAACTCTAGACCATGACTCAAAGTGCACTCCGCATGTGGACGCAGGCCAGCCCTAACATCTGATCATCTGTATGGTGTAGGGCCCTGAATCTCTGAATTTCAGTTTCCCTATTTGTAGACAGATATTGCAAGCCAAATGGTAATTGGAAGTTCAGCACACAACTAGTGCTGGACTACAACCTGCTCTTCAATCTATTCAGGCCCCAGAACTCTGCACCATCGTGGAGAGAACTTCATGGGCTCTACCTGCATGTAGGCCTGGGGCTTGTACATAGGTCCCAGGGAGTGCACTGTTTGCAGATGAGGCCAGCAAGGCTCAGAGACACAAGGACATTGCTGAAGGCTCCAAGGAGCTGGCCACCTCATCAGCCTCCCAGGGGATGCTGTCCCTGCTCCAGCTGCCCAGTAACCAGCTGATCTTTCTTTGGGCAAAATGAGCTAGTGCTTCCACTCTAGGTGGGTGTCAGCTCAGTGACCCTGGTCTTCCAGGCTGGGCCAGCCCTGGCATTTTACACCCTGACTGCCTTCCTCACCTTGGAGGACTTTTTGTTATGTATGAGGAGGACAGAATTGGTGTCCCATGAGGGCAGGGAAGGGCTTTTTCTTATGTACCGCCTAAAACTGTGCCTGGATGATACACAGAAAGTACACAATGCCAGGCACACTGCCATGTGAATCTCTGGAGGCTGAGGCAGAAGGATTATAAGTTCAAGTCTAGCCTTGGCAATTTAGTGAGTCCCTGTCTCCAAAAATGAAAACAGCACAGCACTCCTTGCCTTCAATCCCCAGTGTCCCTCCCCTGCAAAAAAAAAAAAAGGAAGAAGGAGGGCCAGCAAGATAGCTCCATGAACTAAACGCCTGCTTAGGCAAGTGCAGGGACCAGGGTTTTATCTCCAGGACCACATGCTGTGCTGGCCCTGCCTCCGGGCATGCTGAGTTGACCAAGAAAAATCAAGCCTGGTAGCACATTCCTGTAATCCCATCGATGGGGAGTCTGAAAGCAAGAGAATCACTATGAGTGCAACCTCCATAGTGAGACCTTGTACTAAATACATATAAACAAAGAAGAAGGGAAATACTTAATAGGAATTATGCCAAAGATAAAAATAACTAACACAGTGCACAACTATTATGTGATAGGCACTGTGCTGGGCACATGACTTGCAGAAGCACATCCAATTTTTACAAACACCCTAAGAAAGAAGGAATGGGTAGAGGAGTCTGTGGAGTGGTCCTGCTGAGCTGAGCCAACCCCATGGGTTCCCAGGCCCAGGCCCTGGTGTGGGCTGAGCTTGGCTGAGAGTCAAGCATGCTCCTCAGACCCAGAAGGCACAGGAGGTGGAGGGAAGTGGAAGCCATACTGTGCACCTGCAGCTTCCAAATGCTCCTGCTGTCAGTGGCAACACTGTTGACAGTCTCACTCATGAGGGCGATGAGCATATTGAGCAGCAGGACATAGGTGAGCATAACATAGGCCAGCAGCAGGAGCAGCACGACCCCACGGAAGCGCAGTTTCTCCTGAAAGGCCAGCTCGCCCATGCCGATGGTGAACTTGAAGAGTTCCAACGAGGCATCCAGGATATTCCTGTAGGGGGCCACTTCATCTTCCTGTCCTATCCCAGGCTGTGAGGCCTCCGTTTCATTGACGTTTGCAGTGTGTTTGGACACCTGGGCCTCCTGGCTGAGGCTCACCAGGGCTGTGGGAAGGACGGAGAGATTACTCACCAAGTGGGAACTTGAGGGCATACATGGCAGGAAGAGGATAAGAAGAGGCCTGAGAGGGTTTTTACCTATTGCAAAGCCAAAAAGGAAGACTAAGTAGACCAGCAGGAAGCGGAGCAGATCTCGCAGGATAACCTGGAATACACAGCACATGAGCTGGGCTGGATGGTTGGGCCACCATATATGACCCCCAGTCCCAGAACTGAGTACAATTCCCATTTTACACACACACACACACACACATACACACACACACACACACACACACACACACACACCCCAACGTGGTATATATGGCAAATGTTTAAAATATTTTTAAACTATTTCAGTAAAAATCATTGCCATGTGCTCACTTGAAATCATCTCCCTTGCTTTGAATATTGTTATCCCACTGTTCTTTTGTTTTGTTTTTGTTTGGTTTTTTTGGCGGAACCAGGGATTGAATTCAGGCCTTTGTGCTATCCCACTGTTCTTGCCACTTCCTACAATAGTTCTGAAAATTGTCTTTTATGAGCATCCAAGGTGTCATAAAAGATATGGTTAATTCTACTGACAAAGTGCATCGACCAGAAACGCATACATATAAAAAAAAAATTGTAGTGCATCCTCATCCATTCTTTTCACTAGAGTTGGCATTATGTGACTACTGGCTCTTATCCAAGTCAAAGTGACCATTGCGGAGGACCACCTGAGCAGCTCTCCTTAAAAGAAGAGCGATTTATCTCCATTTTGACTGAGCCTGACCCTATTTCCTCGTATTGATACATACAGAGCTGGCTAGGACTTCTATTTATCCTTCAATTGGCCTTAAGCCATGTATATTGGTCTGGCTGAGGTGCTGGTGATAGTCTTTGAAGGTGGCATGTGTGTTTCCCTGGTAACCTACACCTGCTGCTCTCTAATGTGAGCTGCGTCAAGACAGGACCAAGAGTTAATGCTCTGCACTGCCAGATGAGATCGAGCCACGAGATAGAGGCTATGACTTCCTGGGGCTTGAAAGACTACATGAGAGCTGAAGCACCAGACCCCAAAACATTAGATACTATCTCAATAGCATAATGCAAATTACTTTCTCTGCATATGACAGAGGTAAATGTAGGCCACCCACCTAGCTCAGCTCACAGTACTCACCTACTTCCCACAGTTCTCAGTAATTCCTCCTCAAGCCACTCCACCTCCACTGAATAAAACCTGGGTGAGGACATGGGTCAGACTCTTTGTTCCAGAAAGCCATCTTCATGGCTGAATTTAGGACCCCCTGTCTCCCCAATAATTACAAACATGTTTTAGTGTCTTTACTTTCACCGTGGGTTGCACTGGGAGTGGTAGATTGGAATTAACACGGTGGGATGCCAATAACGTATCTTTGGGATTACAAATATTGACTTCTTGGACTGAGACGACAACCTGGAGGGGACTCCTGCAGACCATGAAAGGTAAATATTTAAAATTGATGCAGGACACTGAGAACAGACACTCAGGTTGGCATGGTGGTGCACATTCATAAACCCAGCATTTAGGAGGCTGCAGAAGGAAATGGCACTTGACTACACAGTGAACTCAAGGCCAAGCTGAACTATAGAGAAAGCACTTGGGGAAAAAAGTCTTGGAAAAAAACAAAGACTCAAACATATTTTCATACACAATATTCATAGCAGCATTATACTATTAATAGTATGCAAGTTATGGAAGTGATATGTCCATCCATGAATAAATGGGTACACAAAATGTGTATACAGACAATAAAATGCCATTCAGTCTTTAAAAGGAGCTAAATGTGTCATGGTGCAATGGGGATAAACTTAAAGATATTGTGGTAGGTGAAACACTGGGCTAATACTAATTCATTCCCTTATATAAAATTTTTACAAGTAAATCATGAGACAGATTTTAGATGGGGTTTCCACCATGAGAAAAGGACAAAAGGAGGAGTTTAATGCACATCAAGTTTGTTTATGAAAATGAAATAGTTCTGGATATAGATGGTGATGATAACACTGGGGGTGTATTTCACACCCCTTTAACCACACATTCAAAATGGTAAACTTACCATAAAAATAGTCTAGTTTTTCTTTCAGACAGGATCTACCAAAGTACTTTAGGCTGCTCTTGAGCTCACTCTGGAGCGCAGCTTTGCCTCAAAATTGCAGCAGTACCCCTAACTCAGGCTCCTCTGTGCTAGGCTCTTGAGCCCTCCTCATGGACAAACGCACTGACCCCTACTGCCACCTTCCTCTCCTCCACTCTGCCTCACTCTCCCCAGCTACCTGGCCTCTTGGCTCTGTCTGCCCCATGCTCAGCTTGTCCTGGATGATGATCTTCACCTTTGTTTCCTGTGGAGGATGCTTCCTCCTGGACCGTGACCTTCACTCTGAGCATCAGTCATTCCTTCCATCTCCACTTAGACATCACCTCTTTGGGAGGCTTTTCCTCTCCAAGCACCCTCTACCTCATTTGGCCTCCATCACACTGTCCATCTGTTTTCCTTTGTAGACTTCAGAAGTGGGCACTGTTATCATTTGTTCACTGAGTGTTTTTGTTTACCCCCCAAACATCAGCCTGAGGAGAGCAAGCACGTGTCTCCTGCTCACTGTAGTTACTACTGGACACTCACAACTGGGCCTGAGGGTCCCTGTTCCTCCTCTAGCCTTGGGTTCATCAGCTGAACACAGCCAGGAGGCCAGGTGGCCGCTGCAGCTCCCTGGCCACCGCCTGCCTCAGCAAGAGCTGCTGCTGGCCTACCATGGGCACTCGCTGAACATTTGCAGATTAAATGGATATGTGCTCATGCCCTCGTGTCTGGGGCACAGGCATGCAAATAAGCATATCTTCTGCTTCCCTGTGAAGAAGGGAGCTCACAGAAGCACGTGCTTCTGTGTCTGTGAGTCTGTGTCTGTGTGTCCATCTACACCATGTAGTGCTTACACGAGCATCTGGTGAGTGGCAGGCAGCAGGCATGCTCAGGCCCTCCTCTGCCCAGCTTGGCCATGGAGGAAGACTCCTGCTTCCTGGGGCCACGGGGAGTCTATGGGAATGTGGGACCCTGTCCAACCCATCTCCATGTCTTACCTTCTGGATCATGACGCTGTAGATGCCCGTGTACTGTAAGCCCCGTGTATAGTAAAGCAGGTTCAGCCAGCCCAGCACCAGCGAGGACACAAGCAGGGGCAGGTACCACTCAATGGCCATGAAACACAAGACCTGGGATAGCACCGTGAGCAGGGCCTGGAATAGGCTGTATGGGGCAGGGTTCCAGTCAGCTCCCAGGCCACACTTGCCAGTACCCCCAAACTCCTGCGGGCCAGCACAAGTCACCCCTGCAGCTCCCATGATGGTTTGAAAAGTCTGCCTTTGGGATTGAACCAAAGCACAGCTGGACATATTATTGAACCTTTGTGGGCCTCAGTTCCCTCTCCTATACAATAGACATAACAACAGCAACCCCTGGATCCCAGTACCTTCAGGATTAAGTGAGAGGGCTACATGCAAAGTGTCAAGGCTCCACAGGTGT